TTCTAGAATTATCTCTGGAGGAAGCCCGCCAACTAGGTACCCCTATCTAATCATTTCAGCCTTTTGTTGATTGGTCTAACGGTCATGCAAACACAAAAATGATCTCCTTTTAAGTTTTATTTTGATGTAGTTGTTAGTCATGATTTTTCAATAGTTACTTCTTTCCTCTCTAGTCCTCTCCAGGCACAAGCTTCATGGATTCTAAAAATAATTTATTTGTTGTCTGTGTTGATTGGTTTTGTGATGCAGGGCATAATTACATTGGCTCGGAACACTTGCTACTTGGATTGTTGCGCGAAGGTGAAGGTGTGGCTGCCCGTGTTCTTGAAAACTTGGGTGCTGACCCCAGTAACATTCGCACACAGGCAAGTCATTTTCCTTTCTCAAACTGGTTTGAAATGCTTTTCTTGAAGCCAAGGTCTGCGTACATCTTACCTTCCCCAGATCCCACCTGTGGGATTACACTGGGTATGCTGTTATTGTTTACTTCTGATGAGAGTGAGGGTATTTAAATTGCTTGACTTCATTGTAAATCAGTTTCTCTTTTTGGTTGAAAAATAAATAAATAGGTCATACGGATGGTTGGCGAGAGTAGTGAGGCTGTTGGTGCTAGTGTTGGCGGTGGAACTTCTGGCCTAAAAATGCCTACATTGGAGGAGTACGGCACCAATTTGACAAAGTTAGCTGAAGAGGTACATAGAAAGATATTTTGTCATAATGTGGTGATTGATTGGCTCTCTTCAATTATTTGATCTGGTCATATTATATTTTCAGGGGAAACTAGATCCTGTAGTTGGAAGACAGGCTCAAATCGAGCGTGTTACTCAAATCTTGGGTCGCCGTACAAAAAACAACCCTTGTCTTATTGGAGAACCAGGTGTTGGAAAAACTGCTATTGCCGAAGGGCTAGCTCAAAGAATTGCTAATGGTGATGTCCCTGAAACAATAGAGGGCAAGAAGGTACAGAGGTGTATGATAAATTTACAGAACATGTTTTATGCTTGTGCTTTATTTTCTCTTTTTCAATTTCATCTCAACTGTGTGGCAGATCCAGAAGCTGTGCTACATTCTTAGATAGAAAGACTTCAAAAATCATTTTTATAATGTCTTAGAATTTGATTTTGTACAGTTGGTAATTTTTAAAATTGGAAGGAAAAACTCTGCAGACAGAGATATACACAAGAAATATGTTAAAGTAGGAAAAGCCATATTGTTATCTGATTCCCCATAACCCCCCCCCCCCCCCCCCCAAAACACTCTGGGCCAAAAATTACGTGATTCTAAAGTGTCCAATCAATATTTTTGGTAGGCGTGCCAAAAATTTACAGAAACACTTGAATGTCCCACTAACTTGTACGAACAGGTTTTCGAATTTCAACCGCCTTGAGCCTGCTTTACATATTTCTTTCAGTGACTGGTATATGGACTCAGCTATAAAGCACTGAAGAAAAACAGGATTTAGTTACCCTCTTACTTCAATTCTGAGTCTAACTGAAGTCATATGGAAGATGAACCTATTTTTGTGAATCTTTTTATCTGCAACTATTTTGATGTGGTATACCCTCCTTTTCAAAAAATGTATATATCCTTGTCATTATATGAATCTGTGACTTGCTATGGGTGATGATCAGGTCATAACACTTGATATGGGATTGCTTGTTGCTGGGACAAAATACCGTGGAGAGTTTGAGGAAAGACTGAAGAAACTAATGGAGGAAATTAAACAAAGTGATGACATAATACTGTTTATTGATGAAGTACACACATTGATTGGAGCTGGAGCTGCAGAGGGAGCAATTGATGCTGCGAACATCTTGAAACCTGCCCTGGCTAGAGGCGAGCTACAGGTTCGTTATCCTCCTTGACCTGTAGTATGTCGTTCCTTGGAATTTCAATGAGAACTATGAAATCTACCTTAAATTTGGTGTTTAATCATTATCTTGATCCAAGTTCATCCTGGTAAAACTACAAAAGAATTTCAAAGCTGGTGTAATTGAGAAGTATTTTGCTTGGTTTCACTTGTCAGTGTATTGGAGCCACAACCCTGGATGAGTACAGAAAGCACATTGAGAAAGACCCTGCACTGGAGAGGAGGTTCCAGCCAGTTAAAGTCCCTGAACCTTCTGTGGATGAAACCATACAGATCCTGAAAGGGCTTCGGGAGAGGTATGAGATTCATCACAAGCTCCGTTACACTGATGAGGCAATAGACGCTGCTGCCAAGCTTTCTCACCAGTACATCAGGTATTATTAATCATATATTCATTTTCCAAATTATCTTCCGGACTCAAGTTGTTGGTACATTTTGACTTTGGGATTTCATAGCAAACTAATTTTTTTCTCGTATGATTTAGATATATCCTTCCCAATAATAAAACTCTTAGGAGAAGTGTCTTTTCTTTTGTATCAGTGCCGGAATAGGCTTATGCACATTTTATCTCCTGAAAAATTGCACATTTATCTCCACTCCAAAAAAAATCATCTTAATTCCATGATTTATCTGAAGTAAAGCATGAATATGTTTTTGAGTTGAACCTTTGTTCCAGTGACCGCTTTCTGCCTGATAAAGCAATTGACTTGATTGATGAAGCTGGTTCCCGTGTTCGACTTCGTCATGCACAGGTATAAAGTACTCTCTTTGTCTTACTCTGTCCTTCCCTTTCTTCCTAATGGAGTCATGACCTGTTTTCTTGATACCATCTAGCTCCCTGAGGAAGCAAGAGAGCTGGAGAAGGAGCTTCGCCAGATTACAAAGGAGAAAAATGAATCTGTCCGTGGTCAAGATTTTGAGAAGGTGACTGGTTTCCTCTCAATCCTGTGCATAAAATTCCTCTGAACTGATTAATTTCTTATTGAAAGCATTGAGATGTTCAGGATGTGCAATTTTAATCCTCTCTATGCATTGGACAGGCTGGGGAGTTGCGTGATAGAGAAATGGACCTTAAGGCACAAATCTCAGCCTTGATAGACAAAAACAAAGAGAAGAGCAAGGCGGAATCTGAGGCAGGAGATGCAGCAGGTCCCATAGTGACAGAGGCAGATATTCATCACATTGTCTCTTCCTGGACTGGCATTCCTGTAGAGAAGGTCTCAACTGATGAATCTGATCGCCTCCTAAAAATGGAAGAAACACTTCATACCCGAGTCATTGGCCAGGATGAAGCTGTAAAAGCCATTAGTCGTGCTATCAGACGTGCCCGTGTTGGACTCAAGAATCCCAACCGACCTATTGCCAGTTTCATCTTTTCTGGTCCAACTGGTGTTGGGAAGTCAGAACTGGCCAAGTCTTTAGCAACGTACTACTTTGGTTCTGAAGAAGCAATGATTCGGCTTGATATGAGTGAGTTTATGGAGAGACACACTGTGTCTAAACTCATCGGTTCTCCCCCTGGGTATGTTGGTTACACTGAAGGTGGTCAATTAACTGAAGCTGTGAGGCGTCGACCTTACACTGTTGTGCTCTTTGATGAGATTGAGAAGGCTCATCCTGATGTCTTTAACATGATGCTTCAAATTCTTGAAGATGGAAGATTGACAGACAGCAAGGGCAGAACTGTCGACTTCAAGAATACACTCCTCATCATGACATCGAATGTTGGAAGCAGTGTGATAGAAAAAGGAGGTCGTCGTATAGGTTTTGATCTAGATTTTGATGAGAAGGATAGTAGTTACAACCGTATCAAGAGCTTGGTGACTGAGGAGTTGAAACAGTACTTCAGGCCAGAGTTCTTAAACAGATTAGATGAGATGATTGTATTCCGTCAGCTCACTAAGTTGGAGGTGAAGGAGATTGCTGATATCATGCTTAAGGAAGTCTTTGTGAGGTTGAAGAATAAGGAGATAGAACTTCAAGTGACAGAGAGGTTTAGAGACAGGGTGGTTGATGAAGGATACAACCCAAGCTATGGAGCTAGGCCATTGAGGAGAGCTATTATGAGACTGCTGGAGGATAGCATGGCCGAGAAGATGCTTGCAGGTGAGATCAAAGAAGGTGATTCAGTAATTGTGGATGTGGATTCAGATGGCAATGTCACCGTCCTCAATGGCAGTAGCGGTGCTCCCTCAGATCCAGCTCCCGAGCCTATCCTTGTGTAGATCAAGTCTTCATTTAGCTCTGCAAATTTGTTGATTGTAATGTTGCTTTCGGTTGTATTGGCTACTAAGCTCTCCTACACTTACGAAGCAACTTGTGAGTAATTTTTTGGGGTGACAGTTGACAGGGTGATGATATTCTGCCAAGTTGACAAGGCAGTATCCTTCCCAAGCAGAGCATCCAGGATTACACACTATATACTTAACTGGATTTCATTAAAATTGTAGTGTAGAAGCATTTCTTCTAATTTGTGGTAGGTGATAGTTAGACTTTGTCATCATTTTCAGCACGTTTTTCCTGCTGTTTTGTTACACTGTTTGGCTCAAATCACAACTAAGGATTTAGGTTATGAACTTGAATTTCTCTACTGGTTTTTTAGCTATTGTCCACAACAAACACTAGACAAATCTAATTCCAAATTTTATATTGGATAACCCCCTAATCCTTGTAACTAGACAACCCCTTGGGATAATATTGTGCACTAAAATACCTTCAGCAGGAATTAACATTATTGTTGACCTTGAATGAATTCTTTTGTCAACTCTACTCTCTTATCTTATTGATGATGAATTGAAGTGTAGTGATTAGGTCGCAGAAAATATTCTGTTCTTAGCCACTCTATGATATTATAATAGCTTAATACATCTTTTGGATGTCGATCAACTCTTCAAATGCAGTAATAATATATGCAGAGACTTTGACCAATATCATTTGTTTTCCTCAAATAATGGTGAGTTCCCTCCTCCGCTCTACAATTTGTCATCACTTAAAGGAATAGGCCTGTCCTATAACTACTTCTCGGGTAAGGGTAAGCTGAGAAGCAACATCGGTGTTGCTTTTCCAAAAGCAGAGAAGATCAACTGGGGAATGAATTCATTCACTGGAACATTTCCAGATTCATTTGCCAATGCTTCAAATACTTAATCTTCCAGGCAACAATTTTACTGGAAATGTACCTGCAAGTTTAGGAAAGGTGAAGAACTTAAGGTGGCTCAACGTTAAAGGTAATCAGTTGGGGAGTGATGAACCTGATAACATGAATTTCATCAGTTCCCTGGCCAACTGCAGCAACCTACAGTACTTGCTTTTGGCCCACAACCACTTTGGAGGCATGTTTCCAAACTCAGTAACCAACCTGTCCACCCTATTGACAGGATTACACATGGGACAGAATAGGATTCGAGGGAACATACCCAAAGAAATTGCAAACCTCGTGAACCTAAATATACTTTACCTGCAAGAAAATCGTCTAACTGGTAGCATTCCAGCATCTATAGGAATCCTTTCAAACTTGGGAACTCTCAACTTGGATTCAAACAGATTGACAGGCGAGATCCCATCTTCAATAGGAAACATCACGAGACTGCTCTATCTTTATTTGTCTGGAAATACTTTAAATGGAACCGTTCCTCCATCCCTTGGAAATTGCAAACAGCTGTTGAGGCTTTATATAGGTGAAAACAATCAAAGTGGCATAATTCCAGGGCAACTGCTGAGTTTGCCATCCCTAGCACATGTTAATATCTCTTATAACTCTTTTATGGGTTCCCTGCCAATGGAGATTGGAGTAGAGCTGTCAAAAAGGGTCGTCTCAGCCCCACCCAACCCAAGCCTCACGCACCAAGGAATTTGAAGGGCTAGGGCAGGCTGGCCCTTCATTTGGTAGGGCCTGAAAATGCTCAACCCAACGCAACCCTAGAAGGGCCGAGGGCTAGGGCAGGCTAGCCCTTCTTTTTATTTTATTTTTTATTTTTTTTCTTTTCAAACTTGTAATTCTATAACATCAAGAAAATGAGAAGATTTTCAAATCAAATATGACAAATAATGGTGTTGTTTCAATAACACTAGCAAAAATTTTAGTGTAATTAGCATGTATCTCGCATACCAGATATGCGAGTGAGATAAGAGAGTAACAAGCAAGATGGGAGGGAGGCGAGAGCGCGAGATTTGTATATGTATCCTAGATACATGCGAATCTACTTTGATAGAGTGTATCTAGAACAAATTAACCTAATTTTGAATCCATATATTCCGAGATACATGTATCTAGGTACGAAGATTCATAATATTACAACATAGCGTGTATTCAAATTATTAGATCATATACTAGTGAGATTATTGTAAATTACTCTTGAATAAAAAGTTTTTGGCCCATGGGCCGACCCCAGCCAGCCCCGATCAAGCCTCAAGGGCCAAGGGCTTATATGGACCGGGCTTATAAGCCCTAGTTTTAAATGGGCTTGAAAAATTCTATCCCAACCCTACCCCAATAACGGGTAGGGTTGGGCCAGCCCGGTGGGCTAAGCCCATTTTGACGGCTCTAGATTGGAGATATAACAAACCTTGCAGGTTTTGACCTTTCTTACAACAATTTCTCAGGAATGATTCCAAGCACCATAGGGAAATGTTTGGCCTTGGAATTACTTTACATGCAACACAATTCATTTGAAGGGTCCATCCCGTACATAGCTGACTTACAAAACCTACGGGAGCTAGACCTTTCAAGAAACAACTTATCAGGAGAAATTCCACCTTGGACTCTGAATCTTTCCTCCCTACTGTACCTGAATCTTTCAGACAACAATTTAGAGGGTGAGATTCCCGTCCAAGGAGTATTCTCAAATTCAACCGCATTACAAGTTGCGGGGAATCCCAAGCTTTGTGGTGGAATCCAAGAGTTTGATTTACCACCTTGCCCGAAGCAAGAAAACCATAGAACAAAGAGGAAGCGTCTTACACCCGTTCTGACTGCAATTATCAGTATTGTTTTATTTGCTGCAATAGCATGTTTTCTGCTTTCTATGTTTTTTATTAAAAGATCCAGAAAACGAAGAGATGCAACATCCACATCTGGGCATCTCATCTTCCCCATGATTACATATAAGGAGCTTCATGATGCAACTAATGGTTTTTCTTCAGATAGGTTGTTAGGATCAGGCAGTTTTGGCACTGTGTACAAAGGAATTGTTCACTCATCAAATGAAAATCCAGTTGCAGTCAAGGTACTCAACCTCCAAAGACACGGTGCATTTAAAAGCTTCATGGCTGAATGCCACACCTTGAGAAATACCAGCATAGAAACCTGGTGAAAGTCATAACTGCATGCTCCAGCATTGACTTCAAAGGAATTGACTTTAAGGCCATAATGTATCAGTTTAAGGAGTGGTTACATCAAGAATCAGAAGGACAAATACAATGCAATAGCTTAAACATTCTTCAGAGATTAAATATTGCAATAGACGTGGCTTCTGCATTATATTATCTTCATCATCAATGTGAAATCCCTGTGGTTCACTGTGATCTCAAACCAAGTAATATTCTTCTCGACGACAACATGATAGCACATGTAAGTGATTTTGGATTGGCCAGGCTCATCCCTAGTTTTTCTGGGGAAGGCAACCTTAACCAATTCAGCTCACTCGGAATACAGGGAACTATTGGATACGCCCCACCAGGTAAATATCCTTTCTCGTTTTTTTTATTATCCTCTACTTAAATCTGTCAAATACTTCAAAACTTGGGTTAGTTTCAAATGCACGTTTTACAGAGTGAGTGGCTAATATGGATGAATACTGCAGAGTATGGCATGGGTGCTGAGGAGATTTGTGTAGTTATGGGATCCTATTGCTGGAGATTTTCACTGGAAAAAGGCCCACAGATAAACTATTTGAAGACAATGTGAATCTGCACCTTTTCGTCAGACTGGCATTACCAGATCAAATAATGGATATTGTTGATGGATCCGCTCTCTGTGGAGAAATGACAGGAGAGGATGCTAACAAGAATATAAGTAGTGAACAGATCAAGTGCTTGGTTTCTATTTTCCAACTTCGGCTAGCATGTTCAGCAGAAACACCACAGGAGAGAATTAACATGGAGCAAGTTTACGGGGAATTGATAATAATCAGAGACAGGTTTCTGAAGTAACAGGAACACACTGCTAAGCAGTCCCTACAGACCGCTCACAGAAAAGCTTGATTGAGTTGATAGTTACGAATTGTCTTATGTATGGCCAATCTCAGATATCAACTTATACTGTATTTTACACATATGGCAGTAATATCTTTTTTCTCCCAGATGATAAAATACATCACAATGCCCAAGCTCATCCCATTTTATTATGCCTTCAATCAGCAACTGCTATTCCACATTACTTGCTCATAAAGACATGATATTACGCCGTATAGATTTGATGGTCAACACAGCAGTTAAGAAAGCTATCATTACGAAGTCAAAGACCTCTTAAATCATATGGTATCACAAAAGAGGAGCTCTGAATTTGGGCATCATCCAAAACAGTTACGTCATAACTATTATTTTATTCGTTTATAGCATGGAACCAAAGCTCAATCGTTGAACATATAGGTCAAATATGAAGAAATTATTCATCACCATCTAGGCCTAATTTTTCAGATTAAGTTTTTGAGATAGTAAGTGAACAATCCTTGTAAAAATAGAGATAGAAGCAGTAAAGTAAACCTCACATGTCCTCACAAGATCTTAGCAAGTAAATATGTATTGTTTCCAGATGTAGCCCAAAAACAAAAACAAAAAAGAGGGGATGCATACATTCTGACAAAACTACAACTAAAATTGGCATCATACAATCCCTCCAAACCAGTAAGTTTTTCCCACCTCCTCTGCTCACAACTAATAGAAGTCCCCAAAAAATAACTACAAAGAGGCTCACAATTACTGTAGATTTCTCTGATCACTAAAAATTCCCAAAACCAGAGAAATAAGATAAAAGAGAAGAAACAGTGCTAACCAGCAAAAGAAGCTATTCTTAGAAGCCATAACATTGTGATGTAATCCTCATCATCGATCATTTGCAGCAACATTTGGCCAATCAAGAAACTTATAACCTTGAAGAGACGGTGGCAAGTAAGTTTGGGATGAGTTTGGATTGTCAGGAGGATAAATATAGTCCCTCCCATAATTAAGATCTTTCATTAGCTTAGTTGGTGCATTCCTAAGATGAAGGGGCACTCCTTCATTTTGTCCAACGGATTCCCTTACCACTTTTTGAGCTGCCCCTATTGCTCTATAGACAGCAATAGACTTCGGAGCCAAGGCCAAATAAGCAACACACTGAGCAAGGATAACATTGCACTCAGGCATGCCAATAAAATGGCAAGCTTGGTAGCAAGCAACAGCTTGACCAAGAGCCGATGGATCAGCTAACCCCACATCTTCACTAGCAAACCTGACCAGCCTTCGTGCTATGTAAAGAGGCTCTTCACCCCCTTCCAACATTCTCGCCAGCCAATAAATGGAAGCGTTAGCATCACTTCCTCTCATAGATTTGTGAAGCGCACTGATAAGATTATAGTGTTCATCCCCTGCTCTGTCATAAGCCAAATGCTTACATTGCATTGCTTCTTTGACATCATCCAGACTGACAACTGCAGACAAAGGAGACTCATCAGCATTTCCTTGTTTGTCCCCTAACTCCTCGTTTGATCCTCTAGCCATTCCCGTACGTGCAGCAGCAGTGGTAGCTGAAATTTCCAAGGCGTTTAATGCTACCCTTGCATCTCCATCACAGTTTGTTGAAAGAAACTCTATACATTCATCATTTACTTCAATTTTCATACTCTCTCCCATACAACAGGACAGCCCCTTATCAGAATCAGCCGCAGCCCGCCTGAGTAGCGTAGCAATATGGTGGGGCTTTAAAGGATTGAGAGTCAAAACTCTGCACCTGGACAATAAAGGCGTAATCAAATGAAATGATGGGTTTTCAGTGGTTGCTCCCATGAAAATGACACTACCATCTTCAATCACCGGCAAAAAGGAATCTTGCTGAGCCTTGTTGAACCTATGAACCTCATCAATGAACAGAATGGTCCTCTTGTTGCTCTTCTTTTTCATTCTTCTCGCTTCGTCAACAGCTTCTCTAACATCCTTAACCCCCGAAGTAACAGCCGACAAAGAAACAAACCGGTAGGTATTTCCACCAGCTTCAGAAGCAGAGCAAGTGTTAACTATAGCTCTAGCAATGGAGGTTTTGCCGGTACCCGGTGGTCCCCATAAAAGTATTGAAGGAAGACGACCGCAATCAATGGCTGATCGAAGAAGTGATTTGGGTGCCAAAAGGTGATCTTGCCCAACAACATCGTCAAGGGTTCGAGGTCGCATTCGTTCGGACAAGGGTTCATGAGGGGGTCGTTTCTTTCTTTGTTCAGATTCTACTACTTTAGGACGCTTAGTTAGACGGAGTAAAGGAGGTTCCTCGTCTATTTTTTCCTCTTCTTCTTCATGGGTCGTCACTCCTTTAGTAGAAACAATAGGTTTAAGCACTGATACAGAAGTAGGTGTGAGGGGTTTGGATTGAAATTGAAAAAATCGATCGATTTTGGGTTGGAATGGATGGTGATCGTGGGCGGCGGTAGTGGGAGACCCAGAGGTGGAAGAAGAAACTGGATTGAAATTGCAAGAATCTTGAGAACCCTTATGGTTATGGCCGTGACTGAGAATCCACTCGGTGGCTTTGACGATATCGCCGCCGGTCGCTGTCAGAGCTTCGACGGCGATGTCTTCTGAAAAGCCCATGCTTACAAGCTGCTGCTCAGCCATGGTGTGTTTTTCTGTTTCCCGCTTCCTCGCTCCGTTTGGCAATTGGCGGTATTTGGTTGATGGAAAACGTACTAATTATTGACAAGCAAAATAATTAACTACTGTAATCAAAAGATATTTATCTTTTGTGTTTATTTTATTTTTGTTATTAAATATTATTTATCATGTAACACATATATTAAAGTATTGAATTTAATAAAATAAAAAAATAATATAATAATATTACTCTTATTATTTATTACTATTTGAGTGTGTCAAGTGACAACTATTATCAGACCAGCCTTAGAAAAACTATTAATGTCAAAAATAGCATAATAAGAAGAGAAAAACAATTACCTTTACTAATTTGAAGAAAGTTAATATTCCTTTAAATGAAAAAAAATAATACATATTATTATAATTGGAAATTTAATATAATTTACCTCCTCATGAATAAGGTATTATCTATGTAAGATTAATATATGCATAACAACACATCAATAATGGTGCAGTCAAGATTTTCAATAAGAGCATTTAAAATTTAAAGAAATAGACACACTCATAAGCGAAGGAGGTTCGACATCTACGGTATATATATCTATAAAATTATCTTTAACCATGTATAACTAGGATACTGACCACAAGGTGGCTCCACCCCTCACACTAATATGGATTATGGTGCAGTGTAAGACTGATTCAAATAGATAATTTTTACTTGAACATATTCGAAAAGATAATTTTTTTAAAGACTATATTTGCACAACTTTTAAAAATAGAGTCGATAAAATCTTAACGGTGACTTTAGAAAGAGACATTTGCGTAAATTAGCCAGCAAGGAAAAGGGAATTAGGCCTTTATTATCTTGTTGTTTGGGTGAAAGGGCCAAGTATAATACACTTGGATAACTTGGGCTGGAGCCCAGATAACAGAGTTTGTTAGTCGAGTTTGATACTATTGGGCCGGGCTTTTGCACAAATAAGATCATTTTGATGTTGTTGATCAAATTTTGGAAAAATAGTTGTGGTGCTACATATACATAACACACACAAGGGCGGAGCCAGCCTACTGTCAGTGGTTCATTTGAACCCTCTTAGACGAAAAATATACTATTTATAAATGGTTAAAATTAATTTTTATGTATATATAATAGATGTCGAACCAGATTAGTTCGTGTGTTTATTTCTTCAGATTTTGAAGCCCCAAAAATCCTAGCTCCACCATTGAACACACCCAAAAAGATTGGTTGACTACACTTTCACAATTTATGTAGGGCGTGGTCATAATTTTAGGACAATCTTCGTTGTATTTCTCTTAATAAATTGCTTACAAGTATTGTCGGATTGACAAATTTTATCTTAATCATAGGTTATGTTAGGAGAGAGGATATAATTTTGACATAATCTTCATTCGGTATATTTTGTTAAATTATTCACAAGTCATATTAAACTGACAAATCTTGTCTTGTACACAAATTATTTTGGCCGGGGGATAACTTTGATACAATCTTCATTTTACATGTCTTGTTATTTTGGTAACAATTTCTTGTGTTGTTCAGTTTTTTATAACACTATTATCAGATTAATTTTAAATAATCTTCAATTTTAGTAATGTTATTAAAATTTTCACAAGTCTAAATTGAATATAGAAAACTTGCATGTGTTGTTAACTAACACTTAAATCTATTGTCCTGAATTTTGAGGCTTTATTTCATTATACACTTCTGATACAAAAATAATAATCTACAATTTGTAAGTATTTTTTAAGAGAATATAATAAAATGATCAGGAGAGTAACTATTTAAGTTAGTTACCATCATGAAAAATGCCTAAACTTCAAAAACATAAAATTAAAAAAATCAGAGTAGTAAACAAAGAACTTGAAGAAGTCAACGATGTATATTATCATTAATAATATATATATTATGTATATTTTAATTATATTGATATATTAATTGATCCAACGATCTTTATTTTTTTTTTTAAATGTATATAATGTCCCAATTCACGAGGAAAAGGAAGAAATGGTAAAAGGTGATGTTGCCCTTTCATGAAACATGGACAAACTTAGCATCTGAATTGTAGCTCTTATTTATTGTTCCTCAAATGTCATTCTCACACAACCCCACTACAATTTGTTTTAAGCTCTTTTGTTACTATCATTATTTATCATTATTTATTGTATGTCACTAAATCTTCAAAAAATAAAATGTTTCAAACATATTTATATATATATATATATATATATATATATATATA